AGCATTGCCATAATTTTGGCCTGTCTTTGTTATCCCTTCTTCTTTCATCCTCATTTACATCCCAAGTTCTCTGGGAATGTACTCTAGTGTTGCTAATGTCACAAAGGTAACCTGAATGTTGGCTTACAGAGAAATAGTGACAATTGTGTAACATTGGCATTATCAAGCAAATAGGCTATAGTAGTATTGTCGAAGATGAACTGACTATGAACACACCATAAAAAAAATTATGTACCACCCTTAACCCTCTAGAAGAAACCCACAACTATGGTGTAAACATTGATAACCCAGATATTGACTTACAGCTAATATGTACTAAATGTGACAGCTATATCTATGTTAATGGTAGAAAAGAATTTGACAGCATTTTTACAGAATAAACTATCAAAAGATTAACAATGCTTTATGGTTATACTATTAATGATATGGTTTGGGGCCGGGAATATAGCTCAGTGGCACAAGCACCTGCCTGGCAAGTGCAAGGTCCTGAGTTTGATTCCTGGTATCAAAAAAAAAGATGTAAAGTTTGTAATAGGAGAATGCAAGAGGGCAAATTTGAAATTTTAAACTATGTGATAGGAGAAGGAGGAGAGAAAAAGTGGTACAAAGATCCTATTGAGAAGTAGAAGGATGTTTATAGAATCAGGCAAAGGTAAGAGAAAAAAACTGATGAGAAGTAGAAAATAAAAGAAAAAGAGGGAAAAAAGAAATTAGTAGGGAAGAAAATAAGAGGAAAAAAGGAGAAAAATTAAAGTGAGAAGAGGAAAAAATAAAGAAAAAAAAAGAGATAAGCAAGGAAGGACAAAGGAAAAGTTCCCCAAGACCAATAAACTCGTGAAGAAGAAATGAGGGAAGGAAAGAAAAAAAGAAAACAAAACTAAAAACAATGCACACACAAAAAACAAAAAGAAAATCAAAAAGACATTTCTCTGTGATTTTTTTTTTCCTTGTCTTTTTTTTTTTCCTTATCTTTTTGAGACAAGGTCTCACTGTGTAATTCAGGCTAGCCTTGAACCCACTTTTGTAGCCCAGGCTGGCCTTGAACTCACAGTAATCCTCTTGCCTCGCCTCCTGAGTGCTGGTTCTCTGTGACTTTTTTAGCGGGGGGTACTGGGAATTGAACTCAGGACCTTGCACTTGCCAGGCCAGTGCTTATGCCACTGAGCTATATCCCCAGTCCCTCTCTGTGATTTTTATATGTGTGGTTTTTTTCCTGGATCTACGATTTTGGGGGAGTGTCCAAATGAAGACATATCCTGGCTCAGATCCATGCCGTGTGGTCAGCAGGCAGTAGGATTAAGACAAGGGCGTCAGTTCTGTGGCTTTCAAATCATGAACCATTCAGGCTGAGTCTAGCCTCTGACCATGCGGGGGTCAGGCCTGTGACATTTACCCTAAACCCCTCAGGGCGTCTCTTTCCCGCCTGACTGGGGCTCCTTGATCACAACTGTCTCTCATTTAGCTGCTGTGGGAATATAACAATGGGAACCCTAAACTGAAGTTATCCAATGGCTGAGTGCCAGGTTCAAACAATCAACCTTTCCTGGAATGGTATTCAGCAAAGCACTCTCTCCAGGGGATGTGGGTGCTTGAACTGGAGCCACTCACCAGCTGTTCCCTATCAAAGGACTCCCATGAGAGCAGAATCCTATACTCTCTTTGCATTGCACAGCACTAACTAGTTTGTCCCATTGCTGTGTTACTCCCTGAATTTCTCTGGAGTCCCAGCTTTCACTTTGTAGAGATCTGGTCTCCTTTCCTGGTGAGCCACAAGCCAGGAGCCATGGAGAGAAAGCGCAGATTGTCTTTTCCCCAGAAGCGCTGTGCTCTGTCTCTTCACTTTCTCTGAAGGTTTTTATTTCCTGCTGGATTTTTCCTAGTTCGTGGGGCTCTACTTCTCTTTTTTTTTTTCTACTTCCCCAAACTGTTATTTCTCAATGTTTGGATTCCAAATCTCAAAGAGGATGAATTGTTGTTTACCACTCCACCAGTTGGCTCAGATTGTATTTGCCAGGTCTCATTATCCCAAAAGTGCTGTGGGTGCTCTATGCTATGGTTACTCTATGTTTTGTATGTTTCAGTTTATTCTTTTAACATCAGATTCCTGCCTTTATATCATCATATAAGCTAATTTATAAACTTAAAGTAGCTTTAAAAGTGTTGCCAAAGATATAGTTCAGTGGCACAGCGTCTGCCTGGCAAATGTGAGGTCCTGAGTTTGATTCCCGGCACTAAAAAAAACAAAGAAAACCAGTATCTTTAAGGGAATTTGATTGGGTCTTTGAATTTGGGGGGGGGGGGTCTGATTTTTTTCAATTCTTTATATATTCTAGATATGAGTCCTTTGTCTGAGGGATGTTAGCTATCCAAAAACAGGCATCTGAGATGAATACTCACTTCTCGGATGAAGAAATACAAATGGCAAATAAATACATTGGTCATTCAAAAGATGCAAATTAAAAAAACACTGAGACTTGATCTCACCCCAGTAAGAGTGGCTATCATCAAGAAATCACCAATAACAAATGCTGGAGGGGTTGTGGGGAAAAAGGAACCCTTCTGCACCATTGGTGGCAATGTAGACTCGTGCAACCACTTTGGAAATCAGTCTGGACATTTCTCAAAAAATTAGAATCAGAGGTCCCATTTAACCCAACTAGTCCCCTTCTGGGTGTTTTTCCAGAATTAAAAACATCATATCACAGCAATATATGTGCACCCATGGTATGGCAGCACAATTTGTCATAGAAAAGTCTTGGAAACAACCCAAATGCCCATCACCAGAAAAATGGATAAAAAAGATGTGGTATTTTTATACAATAGAGCGTTACTCAGCTATAAAGAAAGATAAACTCAAGGCTTTTATAGGTAAATGGATGCAACTAGAGACCATACTCATAAGTGAAATAAATCAGTCCCACATGTATAAATACCATATTGTCTCCCTAGTGTAAGAACCTGAAAGAGTAAATAAAATCTGAAAGGTACAATAGATATTGTGAAAGGGAAAGAAACTTCTCAATAGGAAAGAACAACTGGAATGAGGGAAAGGAGAAAAAAAAAAGGAAGGGAAAATATATATATATATATATATATATATATATATATATATATATACAAGATAGCTAAGATAATTGTACTACTCATTTCTATTGGTTTATTGAAAGGAACAGTTAATTTTTAATTCATCAATCTTGCATACCTATATCTGGTAATCTGAGCAACTACTTTGAAGATAATAAGTAATACAACAACCATTGTTGATTTCCTATCATTTTGTTTTGAAATTCTGTATTATTTTTGTTGTGTTTGTGTTGTTTTGTTTTTGTCTGTTTTTGTTATTTTGTTTTTGTTCTTTTCTCTTTAAAATAAAAAAAGGACAGAAAAATATAAAAATAAAAAAATAAGGGAGTTTGAATATATGGGCCTGGAAGAAAAGAAGAATAAACAAGCCTATGGATACAGATATGGGATAAACCTTGGATAAACTTGATTGTGTCCTGATGTTGATGTCTTCTTAAAAGAATAATTTTTAAATTATTATTTTTCTTTGTCTCCTTTCTATTTTTATTTTTTTCTATTCTGCCTTATTCTTTCCCTTGACTTTGATCCTTTATTTTTAAGGGCTGCAGAGGGGCCAAAGGCCTATCTTCTTATGTCTGCTTTAGGCTGGGCTGGTTGTGGTACTGACCTTGCTTAGCCATTAGGAACCAAAAGTTTCTTTCTGGCTGATCTAAAGTAGATAAAAGAGGACAAGAACATTAGCAAGTCATTGGTTTTTAAATTTCATGTTATAACCATGTTAAATAAGGGCCAAAAATTAAAACAATATTGGTAAATTATGTCTCCAAAAAGTGATATAATTTAGAAAAAATTAGGCAGCATTTGAGATAAGCCTTTTATCTTTAATATTAATCCCTATTTCTTTTTAGGTGTTTACCCTAGTACAACTAGAATTTAAGAACATATAGACTTCTTCGTTTTTTCAGTAAGAAATCCAATTTCTTCCTCTTTTAATTATAACAATGGCCAAATAATATACAATAAAGATATCTATGTGATCATTTGGCCATTAAAATTCTTACTTCAAGTGGAAGAAAAGCAAGAGATGGAGAGAGGGGGAGGGAGGGAAGGAGGAGGAAGATGAAAATAAGATGTGTTATGAACATGCACTAGCTCACCATAAGAAATGTAGTCATTATATACTACAAACATGTTCCAATAAAAATACAAGTTGAAAAGAAATTCTTACTTCTGAACGCAGAACCTAGGATCTGCCCTCTATTTTGTAGACCTGACAAACCTTTCATTATGACTGATTTCAGACAATATAAACATATAAAGCCTAGAATAGATATCAGAAAGTTATTTTTTTACCATAAACACAGCAAAGTTCAGTTGCTAGAATATCTATATTGGCATTTTTTATCATATAGGCAGACTTGTATATACAAGTAATCAAATTGTCACCTGAGGGATATTTTAAAGTACACTCAAATAGCATAATGGCAATACACTCAGGCTGTTTTAGATAAAAAGGGAAGCAATAAGTTAGGTAGTTCTCACAGTTAATAAAAAGATGGAATTTTAGCTAGAGAAATTTTTCTTGCATTGAGTCCTAGTAAGATTGTGTGTGTGTGTGTGTGTAGTTTCTTTTAGAAATAACAGAATAGAAACTAAGTTCAGGGGCTGGGGACTTAGCTCAGCGGCAAAAGCACCTGCCTGGCAAGTGCAAGGCCGTGAGTTCGGTTCCGGTACCGGAGAAAAACCAAAAAAACAAAAAAACAAACAAGTAGAAACTAAGTTCAACCATTTTTTATACAAAACAGTAAGTCCTTCAATTGACTTATCTTCACCTTAATAATGACCAAAACACATTTATAACAATAAAAATAATAATATAGGAATTTTAAATAACAAACGTGAAAAATTAAAATAATCCCAAGTTTTTTAGAGCAACTGTTCAAAATATTTATTTAAAAAATCCTTTCACCAGAAGATAGCAAAAATGAAATAAATTTAATATTTTGTTAACAACAGGATGCCATGATCAATTTAGTTCCACAATCAAAGCAACACATATCTGTCCATATGGCCAGAGACAAGGATGTGGAGGAAAAAAGAAAGAGAATTGAGAGGTAGATGATAACTTTTTGTTTTGCTTCCTATAAATCTTTTTTTGAGAGAAATTTCTGGAAAATCATAAGTGAGACAAGTCTTAGACTACAAGTATACCACAGCAGAACCAATATAGTTTCCCGAAATATAAGATTAGTATCAGTTTTCAGGGTACTTCCCTATGGGGATTTGGTTCCACCAATGAATAAGGTTTCTAATTCTATAGTAAGCTCTTCCTTTGGAACATCAATCTCATTGCCTGGTTCTTCCCCAAGCTTCTTCCACCAAGGTGCTTGTGTGTGCTTCAGGGTGATGAGATGGGCCTGTTTGGCCTTGGCCGCCACAGGCCTGGATCTACTTAGGAAGAGCTCAGGTTCTTTTCCTTCTGCTTCCTTCAGATTTGGTGCCTCTGCAATAAACAGAAAATAAACAGGTAAATGGAAGAGCCCCATGCCAAACAAGTAGGCACCTAGAAACTACAGAGCTAAAATTCCACTACAGCAGGAAAAGAGAGGATTCTAACTCCCCTTTAGGAACACTCCCAACTGCCTGGCCATTTCTATGTTTAAAAGATACAATTTTTCTTAAGTGCCTTAAAGAATTTTGTGAAAGCACTTCATTAAAAATTATAAAGTGCTCCATAGGTGAATGGCATTGTAACCATGATTATCATCTACTTCTAAAATATGACTAAATGCATTGCAGATTGTTTAGTATAAACTGGTTAACAGGGTTCACCATCTTTGAAATTTGTAACTCTGACCTAACACATATGAATAATAGCAAGGGTAGAGGAAGTACACAAGAGGTTATGGAATCTGTATCATTTGAAAATATTATGCTGTTATGATCTAGATGTAGAAAATCCTTGAAGATAGAAATTGGGTAAGAAGATTATTAGTAGTATCTTCCTTTTGAAGATTTTAGATGTCATACATCTTCCAGAGGTTATTCATTTCATGAAACAAAAATGGAAGGAGTACATACTCATTAGTTGTTCAATACTTGTGCTGATCTGAGCCATCACAGCCTCTCTGTGCTGCTGGGCTCTCTCTTCTAGGGCCCTGCTCATAAAGTAGTGTTGTAGCCGTTCTTGAGCCTGGGCATGGAGCTCCCTGCTGGCTTCATCTGACATCTGAGAACCCTGGGAACACAGGACAGAACAGCTTGTCATAAGGAGGACATATATAACAAAGTATATTTTGCTCACCACTTAGCAGAAATTCTAGGGTGCTTAGTATCATTTTATCAATAGAATCTTGTGATTATATCTATCTGATACTCTTGTGAATGTGCTGAATAGTCTCTTAAAAACAGCCTAAGATAAAAACACAAAAAGGGAAGTTTATTTTGGTATGCTCCTATATATCACTTCCTTAGATAGTATGGAATTATGGGAGAAGGGGTAACATTAAGAGACTGTAGTCAAAATTATAAATTGTTTGGCAAAGACAGTGTCCTGGAAGAGGAACAATAAGGTCAATCTGTTTTTCCTGGACCTCACTGAAATACTGTCTTACTTCTTAACCCATCCCCACTCCTAAACTTATCTAAAGGTTTTATAGAACATAGAAGAAAATCAGCTAAAGGATCATACTTCACTTGGGAGTGGAGGTACAAACCTGTAATCTCAGTACTCTGGGAGGATGAGACAGGAAGACCACAAATTAAAGCTTAGCTTGGGAAAATTAATGACTTAGTGAAGCCCTACCTCAAAAAAAAAAAAAATAATAATAATAATAAAGAGGGCTGGGGATATAGCTCAGTGTGAAGTCTCTGGTTTAAATACCCTGTACTACAAATAATTAACTAAGTAACTAACCATATTCCTTTGCTAGTCAGCTAATTTAAGGGAAAGTTAACTGATTAGATACTAAGGATGAAATATTCTTAGCATTCTCATATACTCCAGTTCCTGGATCTTTGCTATGACTCTGTTTCTGCTAATGTCTTCCTTTTCAGCCATAGGTGCTCAAGCAAGTGCACTAAGATATGGCTAAAGCAGCACTTAAAATAACAAAAATAAAAAGCTAGAGTATATCAGAATCACAGTTGTCTCTCCCTATCTGTACGTACCCCTGCATCCAACTAACTGAAAATTGAAAGTACATATTAGAAAAGCTGAACATGTACAGATACAATTTTTTTCTTGGCATTGTTTCCTAAACAATACAGTATGACAAAATTTTATATACCATTTATGCAGTATTAGGTATTAGAAATAAACTAGGGATGATTCAAATTACACAGAAGGATGTATATAGCTTTTGAAATACTATGACATTTTATATAAGGGACTTGAGCATCTGTGAATTTTAGTAGACATTCAGGTCCTAGAACTAATCTAAAGATACTGAGGGACAACTGCATATATAGGTTATTTAAGAGAGAAAAAAGAAAACTAACAATAAGAGCTACAATTATAAAACTCCTGGAAGAAAATGTAGGAATAGTTTCACAACACTGGTTTGGGTAATACAATGTTTTTGGACCACAAGCCCAGGCAACAAAAGAAAAAAAAACAGACAAACTGACCATCAAAATAACATTAGTATATCAAAGGACACTATTAAAATAAAAAGGCATACCACAGAATGGCATATAATATTTGCAAATCATACATATGCCAAGGGATTAGTATTTATAATATATTCCAAGAACTCTTAAAACTCAAAAATACCCTAACTCAAACATGGGCAAAAGACTTGAGCAAACATTTCTGTAAAGGAGACATACAAATGATCAATTGACATGAAAAGATAATCAAAGTCACAAATTATTATAAAAATTCAAATCTAAACCACAATTAGATACCACTTCACACCTATTATCCATTAAAAAAAATAAGAACAGACAGGAAGAAGTGGTGACAAAAGTGTGAAGAAATCAGAACCCTTGTATGCTGCTGCTGAATGAACAAAATATGGTATACACATGCAATGAAATCTTATTCAGCCTTTTAAAAGGAGGATATTCTGACATAAGTTAATAAATCTTATAGACATTATTCTAAGTGAAATTAACCAGATATGAAAGAACAAACACCACATGATTCCAGTCACATGAAGTACTTAAAGCAATCAAATTCATAGACAGAAATCTAGAGTGGTAGTTTCCAAGAGGGAGAATGGAGAGTTTAATGATTAATGAATATAGAATTTCAGTTTTCCAAGATGAAAAAAGTTCTAAAGATGAACTATAGTGAGGTTAAACATTGTTATAATGATATTGTTTATGTTTTGTATATTTTCAGCACATATAAAAATAAATTTAAGTATAAATTTAAAATAGTGATACATGAAGCTATACTGAACTTACTGAATTAGAATTTCTTGGGGTGCATGTTACCGCATTATGTAATTTTAATAGAGGTGATTAAATTTATAAATGATTAAAACTGCTAAAAGCACGACAGTCTTTTGGTCTGGACTGGTCATAGATTTGGTTTCGCTGTGGAATGCTTCACTGCTCTTGCTCACAGAGAACTGTCACTTATGCTTCTTCTACTCTTTCCAGTTCATTTCCAGCTCTTGGTTAAGTGAGTAGTTAATATGATGGATCAGAACCTCAAGTATCAATTGGTCATATTTTATTAGTGGCTAGGCTAATTGTATTTCAAAAGCTCAGGACTCCGAATTTCATTTAAGTATTTAGGTTAACTTTTAAAAAATAAAAGTCATACTGAGGTAAAAATGACATATAGTAACCTCAATATAAACAGGGAACAATTTGCTACACTTTGACATACATCTGTGAAACAATCACCACAATCAAGATAATGAACACTCATCACCACCTGCTTTCCTTGTGCCATTACCATCACCCCCTTCCTCACCTCCCAAGTTATTACTGATACACTTTCTGTTATGACAGTTTGTATTTCTAGAGTTTGTATAAATTGAATAACATAGTACATAGTCTACATTGTCTGGCCTCTTTCAGTTAGCATAATCATTTTGAGGCTCATCTATGTTGTCATGAGCGTAATTCATTCTTTTTTACTGGTGTATGCAACTGTTAACTGATATGCTGTTGGACATTTGAGTTGTTTCTAGTTTTCGGCTGTCATGATTAATGTATGAGTGTTCATAAGGAAATATATTTCCTTCTCTCTTGGTCAAATACCTAGGACTTAAATGACTGAATCATGTGGTAGATACATGTTTAACTTTTTAAGAAGCTGCCACGCTATTTTCGAGTGTAGTAGTACTATTTTACATTCCCATGAATAGTGTATCAGTCACAGTTCCTCAACATGCTTGCCAACTTTGATGTGTTCAACCTTTCAAATTTTAGCCATTCTAATAGGTGTGGAGTACCTTATTGTTATTTTAATTTGTATTTCCTCCAATGACTAATTTGTATTTCCTCCATGATGCATTTTCTTCGTGGGCTTATTTATTATCTATATATTTTCTTTGGGTCAAATGTCTGTTCAAATCTTTTGTGCAACAAAAATTGGTTCATACGTTTTCTTATTATTGACTTTTAAAAGTTCTTTATGTATTATGGATAAAGACCCTTTATCAAATATATGCTTGGCAAATATATGCTCCCAATCTGTGCCTTCTCTTTATTTCTTTAACACCACCTTTTGAAGAGAAGTTTAAACTTTGATAGTCAATTTATCAATTTTTTTCTTTGCTTCTAGTGTCGTAATTAAGAAATCTTTGCCTAACTCAAGGTCACCACTTTTCTCCAAAGTTTCTTCTAAAAGTTTTATGTTTCAGGTTTATTTACTTATTTAATTTATTTGCAGTACTGGGGATGAAACCCAGAGTCTTTACACTGTGTTACATAACCAGCCCTTTTTCAAATTTTGAGACGGTCTCACTAAGTTGTTGATTTACCCAAGCTGGGCTCAAATTTCTGATCCTTTTGCCTCTGCTTCCCAGACTGCTGAGATTATAGGCATGTACCATCACACCTGGCTCTTAAGATCCATTTTGTTAAATTTTGTACATGATGTGATGTATATATGCAAGTTCATCTTTTTTTCTTTCTTTTTTTTAACATATGGATCCAACTGCTTCAGTTTCCCCACTGTTTTAACCACATGTACCTCTGGTCATGCAGTTGACTTATTTGGTCATATACGTGGGATGATTTCTACATTAGCTCCCCCAACTTCCAGTTCCTAGAAACCATTGTTTTACTCTTTCTATTTGTATCAGTATAACTATTCTAGATATCTCAGATAAATGGAATCATACAATATTTGTCTAGCTTATTTTACTTAATATTTCTTCAAGGTTCATCCATGTTAGCCTTATGTGTTTTGAAATGCTGTTATTAGGAAGAGTTGACCTCCAACTAAGGCAAGGGAGAACCAGCAACACTAAAACTTGCAGCTCCTTCCCCCAATCATCTTATTGTTTCCCTGAGCAACAGAAAGCTGTGAGACAAGGAAAACTCCTACCCACTGCCTACTGTCCTGCAGAGAAAAAGGAGGTTCACTGCTGAGCCCAGGGACTGCACCAGATTCCACAGGTTGGAAAGCTGAGCTCTTGAGTCAGGTACGGTTAAAGCTCTAAGCACGAAGAAACTGAAGGAGTTCTGGGGACATCATGCAGAATATCACTAGAGGGAGAACACAGAGAGTACTATGAAATTTGCCCAGTAGTGAAGGGACCAGGAATGGGAGGTTACTGGCATAATTACTGGAGGTAACTGACAGGGAATTGGGTATAGGGCAAAATATTTCACATCCTCTTCTTCCCAAAGAGAAAGATGGATCTTGGGACAGAGACAAAGATCTACAGTTGGCCATAGCCAAAGCACACCTTTAAAGCCAGGAGGTGGGTCTAGAGAGACTAACAGCCCTTTCTACTCCCAGGAAGGCAATTAAGCAATCCTCAAGTAGAGGAGAAACTGGCTAGGCTGTCTTATAAGGAGACTACTATAGTACTACAGTGGGAAGAAGACTGGGTGGACACTAGCCATATGGCCATGTAGGGTTTTTTCTTTGTTTCCTTGCTTATTTGTCCATTCTGGGCTCTTTCATTTTTTGTCTTTCTCTTTTCTCCAGTTCTTGCTTCTTTATGCATGTTTTATTTTACTTTTTAATTTTTTTTTGCTTTTATTTTGCTCTTGCAGTATTTCTTCTCTTTTTAACCTTCTTTCCTCCGTATTCTTTTTTCTCTC